CTCATCTCAACATACTTTATGTGGTGGGTCGAATGGAAGTTGGCTACCATTGGAGACAGGGTTGTCAACGGGAAGGGGTTCGGGTCTGACCTAGGTAAAAACACTCGTGAACCGATCCCTAACCGGGACAAATTTGTAGACCCAAAATCGTCCCCCTTAACGTAAGTGATAGCTTATACAATCACATAGTATAAAAACTGAACCGATCAAACTTAAAACCGGTTTTACTATTTAAATCTTAACCAAAAATTTAAATTTTGGTAATATATAGTTAATAAAATTGATAGAAAAATCACGAGCATGCACAACATGAGCATTGTTTTCGAATACACATGGTGAATAGCCTTTTGGTGATAACAAACAGTAATTATATTTGACTCACAACTCATTTATCAAAAGATATATCATATGGCTAAGTACGGAGTCATACCTCTAGGATGGCCTTTTTGGTTGTCGTTGGTTCATCGTGCCCATAATCCGTGACGATGGTGTAGTAGCTCTTCTCGTCATCACTTGTCACCCATACACACCTCATTCTTTTCTTCTTCTGTAGCGCAGTTGACTGGTCATTTGTAAGGCTCGACAATTGCACTCCTTCTACTTTAGCTACTCTTGTCTCACCTTCATCGGCCAGCTCGATGTAGTAAATTGCATCTTGTAGGTGAGTTGCAGACTTGTCGAAGGGGACCCTGGTCGCCAGAATCCTAATCACGTGTCCCCTATGTTTGGCCTTGATGCACTAATGGTATATTGACTGTACGAGGGCCAGACTATGTATGAGTTGTCGCCCCAATAGGGTGTGGTATGCGGTTTTCCCGAAAATGACTTGGAATTCTTGCACGATGGAGAATGGTTCGATTGATACCTGTAGCTTGATGGATTCCTCTGTTATGGATGTGTTCCCATTGAAATCAGTCACCTCCATGGTTAGGCCTTTCACTATCTCCCGCGTTGTACATCCATTAATTTCAGGGTATGGATAGAAATGAGGTTGATAGAGCTACCAGGGTCGACCATGGATCTTCTCATCTCGAAGCCCCCCACCCTCGCTATGATGTACAAGGGTCAATTGTGGTGGGGGTCTGCCGCCAACATGTCTTCTGGTGTGAATTCTATGCTGGTGCACTTTGGTCGATAGGGTTCTCGGGGTGTCTTGAATACTTCGGCCAAAGCTCTGATGGCCAACTTCATTGTTGATGAACTTGCTCCCTGCTTGTTGAAAAAGAGTTGGAGCTCCGGGCTTTGTTCCAATTTTTCTATCAACATGTCCGCTATTGGCTCGGGGCTCCCACCACGTTGATGCTTCCTCCCTGGGTGTGGGCTGGGAGGGGATCCGTTTCTACCTGTGTGGGGTTTTTCTTCACAAATACGTCTAGTTTTACTTTCTACATAAACAACCTCCTCAACGAAAAGTAGTCCAACAAATCGTGGTGCGGGGATTGGTGATAATTGCATCATCGCCCTCTACATCTGTCTTTTTCCGGATCCACCCCAGCAGGTGGCGGCAGTAGGCTAATTACCCTGTCCTCCACCAGTTTATTCATTATAATTAGAATCTCTTCTCTGGCATAGGGAAAGGAAGGAGGGACTAGTAGGTCGCTTCTTTTACCTTGGTCGTTGTTTCGATGATAAGGCCCTAGCCTGGGTCCTGTGTTATTGTTGGGCCTGCGATCAACTACGTAGGCCTCATTTCTTCCGAATTGCCCTGATACGGGTTAGGACTGGACTGCGACACTTTTGACCGTGCGCGCCGTCCTCTCCGTGCACCGCCACAACTCACTGAATGTTTCTATTTAGATGTTCTCGATGCCTATTCTATAGGCGGCTTGCATCCCTTGGATACATTGTTCAATGAAACCTTTCTCTATGGCGTGTTCATCAAAGACTGCGTGGGTCAGCTTCTGAAACCTCATGACATAAGCCAAGAGGTCTTCTCCCGATTGTTGCTCTGTGTTCCTTAGGTCCACCATCGTTAGTTTCCTTTCCAACATGAACCATTTGGACAGGAATCTTTTGGCTAGTTCAGCCTATGAGTCTATGCTTCTGGCGGTGAGGTTGACGAACCACGTATTTGCCTGCCCTGTTAGAGATTTTGAGAACTCATGCACTTTCAGGTCACCATCGAGGGCGAAAGACCCCAGGACATCTTTAAATTTGCTAATATGCTCCTATGGGCTTCCCCTCTGTCTGTCGTATTGGGGCCACTATTGAGGAGGTGTATATCTGGTAGGATAGGGCTTATACAAGATTATGCCAGAATACGGCTTTTGAAAAATGATTGAGTCCTGGGCTCGGTTGCGACTCTTCACCACCAGCCCTTGCATGTATTCTTTCAACTCGTCATGGCTAAGTGGAGCCTCTATAGCTAGGTTGGCTTGGGGAAAGGTCTGGGGCTGGATAGAAGAATGGTGCCCTATCTATGTGGGGTTGGCACCGATGGGTTGCTCCAGTATAGTGGGGGTTAGGTTAGAGGCATGATGGCTAGCGGTGATGTCAATGGGAACTGGAGCCGGAGTGAGAGGGGATCGTTCGACTGGGGCTATCCGCTGGAGGAGGATTTGGAGTGCGTTCCTTGTTTCCACCTGCACTCGTTCTAGCTTTTTGAATTGAGCCTCAAGGCGGGCCTTGAATTCGTATACTTTATTCGAGAGTATCTCAATATCGGTTTGATGGGGTGCTTCTGTCTCGAGCTGCTCCTCTACTCCCGGGTTAGTATTCTTTGGGATGTTGCTATATTCTTTGGCGATGGGTGTGAGGTTGATTCTGCGGGTGGCCATTCTCTGTAATCAAAGATTAAACCATAGATTCTAACATAAGTGGGGAGTGGTTAGGCAGGTAAGTGGTTTCTTTGAAAGACAGTGGGGGGGCCGGGGATAGGGAACCAACCAAGGGGTTTAGGGTAAAGGGGCGAGGAGATAGTTGAGCGAGGAGAGATCTCTATTTAAAGGGAAGGATCCCAAGGTTCGAAAAGGAAGGAGCCAAAAGCATTTATTCTTCACTAGGAAAGAGAATATTGGATTCGTTGTCGGCTATTAAGGAGCATTATTAGGGTTTCGCCATGTGTCCTTATGGGACCTCTCAAAGATTAACTTTCCTTTCTCTCAGAGATCCTTATAACCCATGTGTGCTATCGCCTTTCGCATCTCATTTAACTGACGTGGCACCAGTGATGCCATTACCTAACGAGTTGTCCTTTAGTGAAACTACGTGGCCCTTGGTCACGCGAGTGATTAAAAGTCTCTTGTGCAGCAAATATTTGGTTCCGGTTTCAATAAGTCGTGGCCTCGTAACGGTCCAGGGTTTATCATGGGGTCGGATATGCATGGACCCCTTTGCCGGTTTAACTTATATTCGCTTTGCACTTGCACTGGGAATGGGTTTATTGCAGACCTCGATGTGTCATAGGTTCATCGCAGGCCTACGATGTGTTGCAGGTTTATCGCAACAAAGGACCGACTATGGGTTGATCGCAAGCGTCCGTGTGGTACAAATTCAGTATCCATTGTGCTCTAAGGGATTGAGTGAGCACTATGTACCTATAACGTAAAAAAACCTCGGAGTGAAAACATGACATAATCACATCAACCAACAGGAACCAAGGGTATTACAACACTAAAGTCACTATTTTAACTTAGATGAACCTAGCATACCTAGATAAGCTAAATTCACTTATTCAGACTAGTCAACGATTTTTGGCCCAAGAACATTTTTAAGGTGGAGCAAAACAGGTTTTCGGGTCAACTGGTCCAGTCCGGTCCAATTTTCAAAACCATGTGACCAAAAAATATGTGACTATGAGATGAACCCATTCCATCTGGCCAATGTATTTGAAAGAGCAGCCTAAACCGAAAATCATAATATTTGTGGGCCTTTTGGCTCAAAACCCAAAACAGCTGGGATATGAGGCCCTTTGTGTGGGTCCCACAACTTGCCACTTGTTACATATTTTGAGCGTAGAAACCCCAGTTCATTTTCGTGCATGGCTAAAACCAAGAATCATCAATATGTCACTACATCTAATTGAAGGTCGGGACATCAATTCATCAAAAGCTTTGATTTTGTTGTTGAGTGCAGCCCTACAACACTCTCGTGGCAAAAGTAATGTGTAGAAACCCACCATCATATATGGCTCGAATGGACGCTTATRCTGTTTAGGCTCTTTCAACTTTATTTATGTCCCTTCCTTCCCCCTTCAAACGATATCACATTACATGTGAGGCGAGATCAACAAGGCGAAGGGCAATAATAATGAAGATGGTTTGGAGGTACAACAAATAAGAACAAAGAACTGCTGATCGATGATATTTACTAAGAAGTAAGAACAAAGAACTCAATGTCCAAAATGATAGATCTATAAAAATACCATGTTCAATATTTTTTTTTTTTACCTTGACACAGTTTAATGGAAAGATTTGAACCCTACACACAAAAAAGAGAAGAGAGAGAGAGACCATGTCTTCTAGCCTACCTGCGTAGATCTATATATAAAGATTTCTAACCTTTACCTTGATACTACATGTGTAGATCTATAAAGAGGGAATAAAGATTTAAACCCTACATGTGTAGATCTATAAAACCTTTACCTTGATAGTACCGGTGACAATGGCTTTTAACTAGTGAATAACCATGTCTTACCACCTGTGAATAAAGATTTAAATCCTACATGGGTGTATTTGTATTGTATATATTTGTGTAGTTTTGTACTCCTTCCAAACTGAACCTAAATGACTTTGAAATGGATTATATAAGGGTGTCATATTGCATCATATACTTCAATTTTTAGGTGTAATTTTGTATCGATCCAATACCATATTCAGTCGTGTCCTTGTCATATCTGATTTGTAGGCACTTTAGATATTTCACATGGATTTGCAGCAAGAGTGAACGAGTGATAACTTAGGCTGTGTTTGACAAATCTTTTGATGGTGTCTTCTAGGCTTCTTAAAGCCTAAAAACCCAATTTTTGAGCTTTTTTCGTTTGGCAAAATAAGACAAGAAGCTGAGAAGATGGGCCACCCAAAAAGTTATGCGAGCCTGAAAATCCCCAAAATTGAGAAGCTCCAACTCGAGCCAAGAAGTGCAGTCAGTATTGAGAAAATAATAGGAGATCTTCGAAGAAAACCCTCATTCCTCAACGTCCATGCTTCTCTTCAACGTAGGTATTTTCCTCCTCCTCCTCCTTCTTCTTTTGCTTTCTTTTTCTTCTTCTTCTTCTTCTACTCCACCATAACCCATCCGTTTTTCATTTACAAGGACCTACAAACAATAAAACGCATCTGCTTTCTTTCTTTTAATTGAAGTTTTTGTTCTTTGCTTTCCCCTATTTATTGATTTAATATCTAAGAACTTCAATTTGTTTATACTATTAATCTTTTCTTTGGTATATCTAAAATTTTTTGATCTTCTCATGTTTGCTCTGCTACTAAACTTCAATTCGTTTCTTTCATTTTTCAATTTTCATTTTAATTTAACTAGTGTTTAATTATCTTTCCATCAATTACATACCTTTTAAGTTTAATTTAACTTGTCCTTGTTCAGCTATGCAACCAGTCGTTGATCCAAATCCAACAACAGGTACCCACCTTCCAAGGTTTGCTTCTTTGGACAGGTCTCAATGGCTATCGAACCATTGTGATCTTAGTTCTAGAGAGATACATCTGGCTCAGATAAACTTCCTGTAAAGTTCACTTTACAGCTTTCTAGAAATTGCAAACCTACCTAATCACAGCCTACTTTTGTAATACATGGGCATGACCTCACATCAAGATATTCTAGGGACTTTTAGGACTCTAAGAGAATACCTATCCCCATAACTGAAATCTTTGGACAGTTGTTGACCTTTAAAACCTTCAAACCTCACTTGATATTTTACATGTGTATTAAGCACATGTTTTTTCATGTTATGGATTTTGCCAATAAACAATATTCATGTCTTCCTAGCTTTCTATGAGACTGGCTTCAGTCAAGGCAAATTCATACCCACACCATTTTAACAGCCTTGAGATATTCTCAATGCAAGACAGTAAAGACTGTCCGAACAGAGTTTGCCCTTACTGAAGCTGAACTCGCTTTCTATAAGATCTGTTGCAATTACTGCAACCAAACTATCTTCGGACTTCCTAGATCTACCTATGAAAGCTCTTGTGGTCTTTGGGTCTTTAGATACTAGAAGATCTTCTATTGAAGGACTTGCCAAACGCCCCCTTAGGAAAATAGTAATTAGTCGGGTTGTGGCCTTGGCCTATCAAAGCCAAACCAATACCCTGAACCATATTTGTATGTTCTACGATACATCATGCAAAATTTCTTTGCCTCCCCCAATGTGAAAATTGAGGCTCAAATCCAACTTGTTGAGGTTAAAGAAAGGAAGTCTTGGTGAAATGGGGTCTCTCCACCCTACCTCTCTCCGAGGATCAATTTGATGGTTAAACCAGAACCTTCAATTAATGGTGAGTGATAAAATGAGAATTGCATTGCACTACTTATTTCCATCCTAGGATTTTATCACTTACTGGGTCTAATCCTAGGATTTTATATATTGAAGGTTCACCTCCATCCCTTGGGTTAGGATAGGCAACAATTGCAGTTGAAAATGGAACCGGAATGGCCTATTCCCATAGTCTATTTGCTTCAGATAGGAATGGGAATGGGAATCAGCACGAATGAGATTTCATTTCCAAGGGAGGGGCAGGGAATGACCATTCGCTCAAATGGGAGAATGCCATTACAGCAGGAATAGGAATGAGGTTCTAATTGAGCCCAACCAAACAGTTAGAATTGGAATAGCCCAACCAAACAACTTTAGTGCAAAAATTTGCATATAATTTACAAAATAATCAGTATAAGTATAAACACGTGTGTGAACCAGACTACATGACCAATCACGAGTGAAAGAAGAAATGGTCAACCACGAATTGAGACATTATTTTTGGGCGAAACCGATAGCTTCATCACCACATATTTAGCAACTATATATTTTGGACCCATTCAAACCCCACATCACCACTAATTGCACATATAAATAAGTCGTCTCCTCTCTAATGTCTATTGTGCTTATTGTGCTACTAAGTAAGTAACTAAGAATTCAAAGTAAAAGAAGAGAGAAAGCGATGGCAAACAAGATTGTGGCAGTGTTGGTGGTATGCATGGTTCTTTTTGCTGCGGTGCAATTCTCCGAGGCAGCAGATGAAGGTGCTGATCCTAAGTACGTAGAATGTCTCTACAAGTGCGGGGACGATTGCAAGGGTGGGGAGGAAAAGTCTGCCTGTGACGCCAAGTGCGACCAGGAGTGCAAGGATAAGGTCAAACTTGGTAAGACACACACACACACAGAGTTTTCTTTTTTTTTTTTTTTGTTAAGGTGATCGATCGAACAGAACAGATGCAAATCATGGACCCTTTGCCAATGCTAGGAGCCCATCTGTTTTGTTTTGAAAGCAAAAGTTGTATGAACACGGATTTGGGAATATCTCCCATCTGAAATTAATTCTTGAAGATAGAGATGTTTCATTCCAATATAATGTTTGTCTGGCCCATGCTTGTACCATATTCATATAGCTTTTGCTTTCAGGAGATCCCTGTCAAATACGTTAGACCCAGTTAGTGGATTTTCTGTCAATGGGTTCGGTCTATGCATATGCATGATCCCATATATAGAGAACTACTGAACCCACCAAACCGATTATATGTATATAGTTTCTCGTTTTGTGGTTTAATGGTGTTCCAACTCCCAATTTACAATTGGGTGATGAGGACGAATTCTTTCTGTAATTTTTGTTGGGATGCCATATATAGCCCACCTCAGGCCACCAAGAAAGTTAACGTTGGGGCTTCAATATTCATCACATTGCAATTAACTGCATCAACTAATACTCAATTTATTTTTTATTTTTGATGATGATTTTGTTTTAATTCCTTTCTTCCATCATCCGTGCAGGTTAATACCTGAGCAGTAGCGGACAATAAAGCTGAAGTCATGGACAACAACCACGTACCTTGAACGAGTACAGAGAGATTAACCAATAAAGCAACAACAGTACAGCTAGAGGAAGTTCCTTACATATGTTTCTCATTCCCATGTCGTAAATGGTGCTATATATA